TTTTTTTTTTGTCCTGATGTCTGGAAATGTTCAGTATAGGGTCTACAGTAAAATTATGCTCATTTCTTCAAATCTAAAAGAGGTTTTGCGCAGACAGATTCACAACACCAGGACTGCACAGGATCTTTTGGGTAATTTTCAATCGGAGTCAATTTTCCTTATTCAGCCGAACATGTTAGTTACTTTCTGTTTCTTTTCTTCTTTCTATATATTTTTGATGTATCATCTGCTAAAAATTGACACCCTTAAAATCTCCCGGTCAAAAATGTACCCATTTCGAAGTATTCCAAAAGAAATTCGGCAAACTTACCCAAAGTTGACAACATCCCTAACGGTCGGACACGCAGTCTCGACTTCTCTCCAGGTTCCTACCCTACTTACCCGCTGGCACATGCGCATCTAATTTGTACTCGATAGCCCATGCCCCACGAGTGGGATCAACACTCATTGCTATAACATGTCCCACAGCTTCAAACGCTCCAAACCGGGAGCCCGAGCCCGCCAGTTCTTAAATGTGAGCGGGTCGTTAACTCCGTTGACGCACCTAGCGCAATCTATCGCTCGAACCACGCACCCGACACAGGATGGGGAGGCGGAGGCGGGGGAAGGAGGGGATCTCTGTGCTTCTGCTTTACCGACATACCGACCGACATCACCATGTGGTCTGAAGTGGTCCAAGAGGCCGTGGATGCATTCAGGAACAGGCCCAAACAGGTGACGAACGTGGGCCGCGGTAAAGTTTTCGACATTCATCTCAATTAGCCTACAAATGTGCAGCTCTTGCACACTCTGATTCTGTGTTCCTCAATTTTGTTACTTTTACAGTCGAGAGAAAAAGTATCATGACCACCAATGAAGAAACAAAAGCTGAAATATCGCCTGAAGATGTCGCCAAAGCTGACAAATTCAAAGAACAGGCGAACGGTTTCTTTAAAAGTAAGGCCCCTTGGTTCTTTAGCCTACGATGTGTGTGTGTACATGTTATCTCCACCTACGGGCTTGGCCCCGCTTCCTCTCGTAATGTGTGGGTGTTGACTCTCCTCCTGTCCAGACCTGCTTTCGCTTGCATGTTCTCGCCATCGTGCCGCCCAACTCTGTTCCTTAACGATTTCTACAGAAGATTGCTCAAAAGTGCACAAGATAGTAGTAGTTTGAAGGTTAGGAATAGTGTGCCGAATGGGACCACCCGTGGCGTCAAGAAGAGTAATAGGACCGGCTCAGTGGCTCTGCCTATGACATGACATCTCGAGTCCAGGTCAAGTTGTCAAGAAGTTGATTTTTGTATTCCAGATTGAGGGATTTTTTTATTAGCCAAGCACAAGACACTAAGCAATTTTGAATTGTGGCATTACTCATTGAGTGCTGAAGAATCATTGATGTCATCCTTTACTTCAATTCAAGAGCTTTAATTCAATAAAACCTACTGCCATTTTGATCATGTTCTCACACACTCCTTCATGATGATACATTTAGTGCAGTGATTAGTCTTTGTTTACTATTGACATTTGCTTTGGTTTCTGTTGTATCTTGTTGTTTCTTCCTACTCTTCTTTCAAATAATATATAATACTTTTAACATTCTTTCCAGTTGAATGTGACATCATTTTACATTTGACAACTATCATGTCTAATTTTTCTTGTTATTTCTTTGCTTCTATTTCATGTCTTAACTTCAGTCCTTTTATTACTTTAGTATTATAATATGGTTTGTAAATGTACGTGCAGCTCTTTATTTTCACTGGTTGGTAGAAATGGACATGCCTGTAAATAGCATTGAAACATACCTTTTTCAAAATTTCGGTAAATATCGCATTTCAAGTAGTTTGTTTATCATTTCTGTAACCGATGAGGAAGCAGCGGGAAGCAGCCTTTTATTTTCAGATAAGTTAGTGTGAATTTTATAAATAAATGAGAGCTTGGACTTTCATATGTTCTGAAAGTTATATGAATTTGTTTAAACCTTCTGATTTGTTTTACATTAGAATGGCTTTTGATGGAAAACAGTTTTATCGTATTCCATAAATATTCTGTTTTATTACCTTGTGACCAATGAAATTTCTTTATAATTTTGTTATTTCTAAGCAAGGAAGCAAGCTTAATAAGAGTCTAGTCAAGAGATAGCTGGAAATTATTTCATAGTTTTACTTTATGACATCTCAATCTGAAAATATTTTTGGTCTGCGAGGAAAGATTCTAGTGCTGCCAGAGATTCTTTGATTCTCTGAATTGATGAAGTAACCTGGTGGCTCATCTAATAAAAAATGTACTCATCTGCGCTACTTTTTGGGTTTAACTTGGAAGAGGGTGTGAAAATTGTTATTGGTTCTCTGAGCTAGAGCAGAGTGCTAAAAGGCTGATCCCCATTCCAGGACATGGATGAAACTTTCATTGGACTTCCTCATCATTCAAGAGGTGCTGCCATTCAAATGATGTCACCAAGAATGGTTTTCGTACCATTGATGCTGCTTCTGTGTGCCTCTTGCACTGAAGCATGTTCCAGCCGCCTCCGTAACCGTAACCGCCCACCCCCTACACCATATCCAGCAACAACACTAAGGCCATCTGTCACCTATGATATTTTTGAATGTCCACCATTGTTAGAACAAGTTTTCTGCTTGAATAATGCTACTTGTTTTGCAATTAAAGTTGGCGATGTATTGGAGTACAATTGTAACTGCACTGAGGGATTTATGGGAAGGCGTTGTGAGCACAAGTATGTCGACATTGATGGTGAACTTCTTTCACAACTATCTATTCAAGAGACACTGTCAGAATATGCTGGGTTAGCTGGAGCTACAATATACTTCATGTTTGTAGCTCTAGCTTTTGGGCTGTGGTGTTATCTCCGCCGGAGAAGACATCGAGTTAGCAGTGAGTTGCAGGATGTGGATCAAGTTGATGGAGTTGCCTTTGAGCGGCCTCGTCCATTTGGACCACGCCCCACCAACATCTCTTTGGAGCGTTTAGTGAAGAAAGAACCTTCAGTGTATAAAAAGAATGGCAATAATAAGCGAGAAACGCCATAGTACTTAGAAGTTCCATTAATGGATGGTTTTTGTTTCAATTTAAGCCTGAGTTACCTGGAGTCTATATTGTTGTGTACCTTACATGCTATTTTTCATTAATTAAAATTGTATATCATTTATTTGTTGTGTCTGACACAGTTGATTAACATTAATTGTTAATTTGTGCTAATCAATGCTAATGATGTTAATATTTTATTTAACTCCAAAGATGCTATTGTGTATCATTCCTGAAGCTTTTCCTTTTACACCTTAAGTATTAACTACAATGAGAATGGGTTCACCAGGTAAATATTGTGCCTGTAATGCAATTGTTCAATCCCACGGAGCTTTACAACATTTCTGTACAGATATGAGTGGCAACATCAAGTTGCATATAATTGTGATATGTGAAATGTTAATGGACTTCATGGAAGAATTTGCATTGTTTGTTCCTAAAGGTTCATGTTGGAGTCAAACACCGTTTGCCATTCATTCATTCATCCATTCATTCATTCTTTGTTCTAATTTCAATTTGTTTTTGTTGTAAGTTAAAAGCGGGTGTGAGTGTAAGTCATTTTTTCCAAGACTCCTTGGATACTTCATTTAAGCATAAGACAATATTCCTTAGCATTGTGTCTGCTGGTAGTCTTTCAAAGGAAGACTATCTATGCTGCTAAATCAAACACCTATGAACATTTTTGGTACATTTTAATATCATTTCAATTATGCTTTTGTTTTGGTAACTTTTTCTCCACCTTGGCTGGAGGCGAACTGACAATGTTGAACCAGATTGTTTCATACAGTCCCATAATTTAGAGTAAGTTACATATTTCCAGGTTAAGCAATAATGTCGGCATCCGTCCAGTTACATTGATAAGTTATTCAGACATTCCTTGTCTAACCTTTTAATACAAATCTTTTTACTGTTCCATGTGATTATATTTTATATTGTTTTGTGATTTTTTGTTCTTAATCGGGATTAAGGAACTGAACTTACTGTCATCATTCTTATCAATGGAAATGGTAACAAATTTCAAATGAATTTTGAGTTGCCATTGCTAATTAATTATGTTGTTCATTGATTTCAAATTTTGTTAATGAAGTACAAATACAGTAGAAGCAACAGTTTGATATACCATATAGATGGGTTAAATGTGACACAGATGCCAAATTATGGTATAAATGTTGTTGATTTCTTTTGTTATGTTTCATGTAATTTCTTGTAATTAAACTTGTTGTCTATTAGGCTGGATTTTTTCCTTGTGCTCCTTGAACTTCAAACTTGCTTTACAGATCTGTGTTTTCATTGCCTTGCACATAGCATTTTACTTATCTCTCAATATTTAGTCTTTATTGTATTCCTCACATTTTGTGAATAATTACCACTAGTGCTTCATTTTTTGCTTTAACACAACATTCATGATGAGGCAGATTAAGAGTTTATTAGCACAGGCACTTTTCTTTTAATTTTCTGAAATTTAAAAATGGAATACAGTGAGCCATTGGATCGATGAACACCCTACAGTCATGATTGCATAATACTGTCAAAATGTAAATTCACTCTACCCGAACTCACGACTATTTGAATTAAAGTAGAAACACTATTGTTGATTTCTATTTTCTATATTAATTTATAACATTCTTTGTTCCAGAGCAAGCTTATGGAGAGGCCATAGATCTTTATACAAAAGCAATTGAACTTAATCCTTGCAATGCTATATACTATGGAAACAGAAGTATGGCATATCTACGCACAGAGTGCTTTGGTGCTGCTCTTAAAGATGCTACAAAGGCAATTGCTGTCGACCAGGGCTATGTCAAAGGTTATTATAGAAGAGCTGAGTCGTATATGTCATTAGGAAAGTTCAAACTTGCCCTAAATGACTATCAAGCTGTAAGTATTGTTTTTGTGATAGACCTGTTTTTCTATACTCATTGTGTTTTATTTCTTCATTTCATCTTACAAGCAAGGATCTATTGAAGAGACAGCATGCTTATGCATTCTTTCTTGACATCTTTTTTGTCTGACAGGTTGCAACTGTTCGACCAAATGATGCCGAAGCAAAACGAAAAGCTTTAGAATGCAATAAAATAGTAAAGAAGATTGCCTTTGAGAAGGCTATATCAGTTGAGACAAAGAGTATAGCAGATTCAATTGACTTTGAGAGCATGGGTAAGTGTGTTTAACATTATTTTCTTTTGACGTTCTGTATGACTATGCCAGAAATTGTCAACTCATTCAAAATACTCTTGTTTATTGAAGCACTTGAAGGTGATTACACTGGCCCTACATTGGAGGATGGAAAGGTTACTCTTGAATTCATGAAGCAGCTAATGGATACTTATAAGAAACAGGGCAAGCTACATCGTAAATATGCTTACAAGGTATGTGTCAATTTGTTTAGGGAGTGAGTAGACTAATGACAGGGTTCCAGAAACTTCTTTTTGCTAACCATGTATAGTTGTTATTTATAGTTTATTGGCAAAAAGATAGATGTTACAGTTTTGTTTCTTTTATCTTTCTTTTTCACTCTTAAAAATGGCAAGGGAATGGAAGGGACCTTTTTCTACTTACAAAGAGGAACAGCAGTGCTGGTTCTTGTTAAACTGCCACTCAGTTCTTTGGCACCATTGTAGGGTTTTAAAAAAGAGTGGATTTTGTTTTGCTGTACTGATTATACACTTGCTAAGTGGTATTACTAATACTGTATTTATCTGATATCTTATACCTTAGAAGTGAAGAGTTGAATATGTCAAGACAGGAAGATTTTTTGGGGTTAATTCTTATACCCAGAGAGATCAGCAAAATTAGTATGATCGTGAAATCCAATCAGACTTTTAATCTTTTGCTGTTGCTTTCTCCCCCTAGATACTACTGGATGTGAAACAGTGGTTCATGAAACAGCCTACCTTGGTTGAAGTACCTATCGCAGATGATGATAAATTTACTGTTTGTGGTGACATCCATGGACAGTTCTATGATCTCATGAATATTTTTGACCTAAACGGACTTCCATCTGAAACAAATCCCTATGTATCCTTTTACTTAAATGAAAACATGTGTAAATTAACCTTATGTTTTATGCCTTAAAAAAAAAATTGAAATGAAATAATTTATATTATTTTGTATAGAATTGTTTTCCTTAAGAAATTTTCAGTTATTCAATGGTGACTTTGTTGACAGAGGATCATTCTCCGTAGAATGTATATTTACATTATTTGGATTTAAACTTCTATATCCAAACCATTTCTTTATGGCAAGAGGTAAATCAACAGTCAGGAACTTTGCTGAACTAAAAACTGCTGTGCAATCTTACGTGTAATTGATTCCAATTCTCAGGGCCAGTGAAAATTTATTAAATCTTATCTTGTTTCTCTGAAGGTAACCATGAAAGCCACAATATGAATCAAATGTATGGATTTGAGGGGGAAGTCAAAGCTAAGTATACCACCCAGATGTCTCAACTTTTTACGGAAGTCTACAATTGGTTACCCTTGGCTCACCTTCTGAACCAGAGAGTTCTTGTAAGTACCTACCTATGGAGCTTCAAAATTATGTACAGTAAAACTTTTTTTATAATAATACATCATGTCGTATTTCTATAATTTTTCTTTACTTTAGGTTATGCACGGAGGTCTTTTCACTAAAGATGATGTAACATTGGATGACATAAGGAAAATTGACAGAAACAGAGAGCCCCCAGAAGATGGTAAACATTTCCCATCAAATCAAATATCTCGTGTTTGTTACTGACTCTCAGTTAAATTTATAGAACAATTATGTTAAAGTAATGATTTTCTAAATGTTCTAGGTCTAATGTGTGAATTATTGTGGTCCGACCCCCAACCACAGAATGGCAGAGAGTCCAGTAAACGAGGCGTTGGTGTTCAGTTCGGTCCAGATGTTACCAATAATTTCCTGAAAAAGAACAAACTTGATTATATAATTAGAAGCCACGAAGTTAAAAATGCAGGATATGAGGTTGCACATGATGGCAAGTGCATCACCATATTCTCTGCACCTAATTACTGGTAAGTACTGAATCCTTTTATCTTTGTAAGCCTAAGGTAGACCGCAGTTGAAGTTTCCTTTAATCCTTATTTATTTTATTATAGTGATACAATGGGAAACAGAGGGGCATTCATTACCCTCCAAGGGAAGGACATGCTACCCAAGTTCACATCATATGATGCAGTAGTATGTATCTTCTTTTTTCCTGTTTTTTTTTTTTTTTAATATCTAATCTATGTGAATGTCAAATGTATTGCATACTTAGATTCCTGTGGTTTTATTCAACTCTTTCTTGAAAGAATGATTAACCTATTTGACATTATTTCTATTTCAGCCTCATCCAGATGTGAAGCCTATGATGTATGCCAACTCCTTACTCAACATGCTTCCGTAGTGGATCAGCATTCTTATCAGTATAGCAATTCAAAAATTCCAGAACTGATCACATGTGACAACAAGAACAACATTAATTCAAAGACAGATCAATCCCTTGTAAAAGCTACAGAAATTGAAATCATCTCGGTTTGAAAGTGAAGTATGCTGAGGCTTTTTGTTAATCTGTTTTCTGGGACCATCTTTACTTTTTTAGCCATTTTAAAAAAAACGCATCTTAATGATAGAGTAAATGCATTTTTGTATTAAAAATCAGATACGAAAAGGAACTATGTCTTGTTGTCGGGTCTTCCCTCATTTTATAGGATGTTTTTATCACAAGCTTTTGAGTAGTTTGGTGAGATGTGGTGAAAATGCACGACCTGTGCATTGTCTTGGTGGATTAATAAATTTAATTTCTATACATTTAAGTCAAGTTTTATTTTTTTCCTAGATCATGGAAGCTAGATGTTAACAGCTGAACTATTTCATCAGCTATGTGATCTCTGTTCTTCATGTCGACCTGAGGAGAAAAACTAATTAGATAAAGTGAATTTATAAGAAACACATCAATTTTAAGACTAGCTTACTGTGATGAGTTTAACAGAAGGATGCGAGCGTACAAATTCCACTAGGGGAATGGGTTTTCCTTTCTGAACTGGGATTGTTCCTAAAATAGTATTTCTTGATGAGAAAGCAGTCTTTGTTGCAATTTCAAAGCTCTTACTGAAAAGTTCCATCTTGCCTATTTCATCAATAACAATAATGCTATTCTCATTCTGAAAACAACATAATGAAATGATTAAATAAATAAGAAATTTTGCATTGCAACAGATCATGAAAGTTTAAAGAACTTACCAAAGACTTAAAAATAGGAAGGGCTACAGATTCAAAAGATTGTAAATCAACTACATATTGTCCGACCTTGGGTCCAGTGATGTTTCTGTTAAGCAAATATCAGTAAGTTAGCAATCGAAACATCTAAAACACTGCAGAAACCTTATACCTACCCAATCCTGGCCAAAGAAGACTTTTCGCCAGCGAGAGAAACCACATCAAACCCAATACGCTTTCCTTTTTCCCTTACTTCTGAGGTATAAAAGCCCTTAACTGGAACATCTTTACGTAGCAGCTCAGAACACACTTTCTGAATGATAGTTGTTTTACCAACACCTGGTATAACAAAAAAGCTTCATGAGTTGATTAAATTTAAACAGTGGCATGAAACAATTGTCAGCTATTCTACCTGGAGATCCAGTAAGGATGATGTGTTGCACTGTAGATGTACTCATATTAAAACTGTATGTAAAGTCAATCACAGTATATTAGTAAATAAATATGTACATAAAGGCTCATCCACTTGACAGTAATTATTTATTTAATGCTGCTGTCAGCTGACAGCTAATACATTCAAATATATTTTCTTCTCTTTATTTAAGTGTCAGTCAGGTTATGGTTTCGGCGAATGAAACTCCACTCTTTTTCTCACTGACCTATGGAGCTAATACACTAATACTTTAGTTTTCCAAAGCTAGTTTATTGCTCACAATTGATTGACGTGGTTCGTGTTATTCAAGGAAAACATGAATATTAAAGAAAAAAATATGGGTAGTTGGCAGTGCTGCAAGACATGTCAGAAATGAGCAATGTTTTGCTTTCGAGAAGGCTGATCAAGTTTGAATGTTGTTTTGAGCAAAAGTGAGGTTGGGTTCACGTAGGTTTCACAATTCGGTGTGTTTTGAAATCAATAATTGGCGATTCCATTCTTGATTCAATCGAAAGTTAACAAATTCAAATTACTTCGACGTAGCTAAAAGTCATCTGCATCGTAAGGGGCTTCAATAACAGCCCGTTAAATCAGTGTCTATTGTTCAATCTAATAAATCAAGAATGGCCGGAGTATTATTTGAAGATATTTTTAACGTCAAGGATATTGATCCAGAAGGCAAAAAATTCGATCGAGGTAATGTATTGCCCATATTTAAGTATTACTTTCAACCTTTTGCTTTTGACAGTTTTGCTATGTCTAAACTTCCGTCGTCTTTCTAACCTTCACCGGTAAACCACGCCGATCATGTTTATTAATTACTAGTGAATTAACATTCCGAAATGAAACAGGTTCGTTTTTGTGTTCTTGACACACTGATTCCGATATGATCATATTCTTGTCACGACCTGGGTGAAAGTTAATGGGAGGTAGTAAAGTCGCTACTGATGGCAAGGACTCCATTTGTCGTTTGAACTTGATTTCACTCAATCTTCAGTATTACTCTTCGAAGAGGGGGGGTCTGGTCTGTTTCCCCATACTGATTTTTAGTTGTGATCCCTAAAAGTGTGTTTAAAAGCTATTTCCTTCAAATGGTTTTAAGTTGACATATTCATGGTTACCGTTGGTTTTTGGTTAGCGAGTTCGTAAAGTACTGTATTGTTAACAATTATTCCTAAAGTAGCTAGCAGCCTTTATATGGCACAGGTTGTTTGCCTTTCGTGCTTTATTTGTTAAGGTTTTAATAATTTTCAAGTTAGAATAAGTGTAAAATTATTGTTTTTATGTTTTGTATCCATAAGCATGATTGTCCTTGAAAACTTTTTGTGTAGCTGGTCTTATTATAGACAATCTGACCCAATGGTTTAAAGTTTTCTACTTGAGTGGCCCTATATCCCCTTAGAGAGCGCTTAGTTAAAGAAAACTTAACTTTCCTTGTTCTTAAGATTTTTTACGACTTAAATTCAAGTCAAATCCTTTAGTCTGAGTTCTGAATGGTAGGGGATGGAGCGTTGACACGTTGACTTTGGGGGCTAGGTAGATTGTCTGGTAGGTGACTACATTGGTTTTTGAACACAGTTGCACTGAGAGTCTTTGATCAGGCATTGTGCTTTTAGGTATTGAATTATTTAAAACAAAATAAGCTGCTTACTGTATTATTAATTACAATAAGTAAAATTTTTCGGTAGTTGTGGCTTGACTCTTTGGTTTCATACTTTCCTCTTTTCTTCAGACTTCCAAGAAACAATGTGGCGACACTGACACTTCCTGAAAGTCAGATAAAAATCAGGGAAAAATTATGGTTATGAAAGCCAAGAAAAAATTAAGGGAAATTAAACTTTGGTCTGGCAAAATTAGGAAGTCCAATACACTTCTTGTTGTTGTTTGGTGCGGTTTGGTGGTCCGTAATGCCTAAGTTTCATATGGTTGAAAAATTGCACAGAAAATGTCTGAGAAGGTCAGGGAATTGTGGAAATATTAAGGGAATTTGACAACTCCAATCGCATGACTTCTCTCAGGGAAGAGTCCTACGGGAGTGAACGAACAAGAACAAGGCTGCGGGCTACAGAGGCTCCCGCAGGGGCCGTCTTGCCTGTTCCACCGCTGGACCTCGACACTACGCCACTGTATGGGGCTCTCTGGGGTGAGAGCTGCACTCCGGGGCGCGGCGTCCTCGGCCGTGACCTTGACCGGCCCCTCCACCCTCCACCCCCTACCCCTTCCCCTCTGGCCCGTCCCTTCGTCTCCCTTCCCCTCTCTTCGTCCCCCTTCCTCTCTCTTCGTCTCGCTTCCACGCTCTCCCCCTCCCTTTCTCTCTCATCCCCTTGTTTCACTCGCTGTTTCCTATCTTTCATTCCTCTCTCCCCCGCCCTGTCCCGTGCCTTTGTCCTCTCCCCTCGCGTTCTGTTTCACTTTCTGCTCGCTCTTATTTCTCTTTGGTACGCGTTTCGTGCGGTTCGCTAGTTGGTATTGATCGCAGTCGCTAGGGGTAGCGGGTAGCAGGGGGAGGGGGCGACCGCCCCCCACGTTGACCACCCCGACGGAGCCCCTTCGCCCCAGCTAGAAGCCTCCACCGAGACCCCACCAGGGCCCCCTTCCAGCTCCCCTACGAGCGCCCCCTCTCCACGCTAGCGCCCCCATGGCTCTCCCTTTGCGGCTGAGCTGAGCCGACGAGGCCTCAACGATTCTCGAAATCCGCCATGGTTCCATCCAGGAGGCATGGATGTGTTCATCACACTTTATGCCACGCTGGACCTGCGGTACCTCCGACCTGTAGTGTCACTCGTGGTCTCACTGGCCCTATTATGTTTTGTATTTTAGACTAGGCAGTCCTCAAGACTGTCTCTACAGAAGGCAAATACACCCCCCCCCCCCTCTCTATAGCTTTAAGTGGGGGCGCTGAGTATGTATGATTACTGTAACGGTCCACTAAAGAGCCGTAAAGGCGACAAGGATTACTGAGTGCCTTAACCTGTTAAATGCCTACAGGCAGTGAACACAAGTAATACCGCGTAATACTCTAGTAGGGTGTACAGGGTATTGCGGGAGTGAAAAATATCCCCTCGGGCAGGCGGGGTTTTAAGTCCATCTGACGGAGGGGGTGATGTGATGCACTGTGGGTTGCCTTTCAGGGGATTTTGCAGTACAAATTGCCTACCTACCTTGATTTGGGCTTGGGCCAAAATAGGGGGGGGGGGGCGTCTCTTTGCCCTCCAGCCCAGAAAACCGCGCCTGGGCAAGGAGTAAAGTACAATTGGACGTGTAGCCGCGTCCCCCTGTTGTTCACAGGGGGATGGAGTGGGGGAGACGGTTGCTGGTGCGGCGCGACCCCTCACCTTTCCCCGGCCCAGGCCCGGCCCAGGCCCAGCGTGCGCGTGGGCAGGCACGAGGCGCGGGGCGCCAGCCGAGGCGCCACCCCGCGCCTGGAATACACGTGCTGAGGCATCCAACCCCTCAATTGGGAGTGGGGGTCATGTTGAAAAGGGGGAGGGGGGGGGGGGTTACGTGCGATCGACACGACGAAACCTTGAGAAACCTCTTACGACGAGATACATTTCTTCAAAGTCGTATGGAAGTTTACAAAAGAAAGCTAAATTTGGTTTAATTTGATATACCGTACTACGAGAGAGGACTACGGCAAGCGTCAAGTCTCTCTACCCTAGTTTATCACGTAGATGTGGTCCTCCACTAGCCAACTTGTTGTACATTTGCCCACGCCCAACTCGCGTCGTCAAACTCGCGAAAACTCGCGGTAAATTCGCGATAAATTCGCAAAAATTTGCGCAAAGTCGCCAAAAAGTTTATCTGAACTCGCTCGTAACTCGTGTCAACTCGTTGCACACTTATTTTGGAAGTGGGGGACCCCTCGAGATTTAAGGCTTAGATTTGCTATACACTCTCAGACCTGTGCGGGTTCATTCCTTAGTAAATTTTATTCGCAGGATTTCTGACCAGTGAGTCTAAAAAGTCAGTAACAGGATGAGCGTGACGGGGCCATAGTGTGTCGTGGTGAGAAACGGCTCGCAAGACCGCCCGAAAGGCTGCATGTGGTATATTGCAAGTATTCCAGAGTCTGTGGGGGGCCACCTAGGACTCTAACATACCCCCCCTCGGGGTCTCTCCCCTGCGCGTGTTAGGCCTATGGCCGCCTGTGGCCCGGCCAAACGTATCAAATTGCCGCCTCGCGTCTCTTCTGATCTAGAGGCATGGCCGGAGTGCATTTGTGTGTGAACTAGTATTCGGGGCATTTGAAGAGGATTCCCCACATATTGCTGTTTGGAATCCTCTGGAACCCCCGCGCCCTCTTGGGTCGCAGGTTTGGTTGCGCGTCCGACAGGAGCAGCAGCCAATCTCGAGCGGGCTAGCTCAGTGACGTCACTGCGTCTGTGTCTACCCCCCC